AGCGAGGCCAGGGGCTGAGCCAGGGCGGGCGTGAAGCCCCAAACAGGTGACTCACTCTGTGTCCCGCGCAGCCCGGCCTCCACCTGGAGCTCCGGCTCCACGCATGCACCTTACCTGGGCTCCGCCCGATCCCTGAGCCCCCACAGAATGGCGGATGGAGGAAGTCCCTTTCTAGGTCGTCGGGACTTTGTCTACCCTGCCTCAGCCCGAGGTAAGGACCAAATCCTGCTCTTTTTCTGACCTACAGCCCTCTCACACAGCAGATATGTAACAGGTCACAACCCCTTGCTTCCACTGATGCCCTTGGGGGGGGTGTACCCCATCCTCCCCATCCCCCACAAATGTCCTCCCCAAGCTGAGGTCTGCTTCTCTGCAGATCCCTGTGCCTCTGAAGGAGGGGCCAGCCCAGCCAGGAAAGAAGAGAAGAAGGTAAGAGGGGGCACCAGGGTCAGGGTGTGGTCGGGGGGAGCATAGGGTAGGTCCTCATGGCTGCTGTCCTGGATCTGCCACCTTCCTGACTGAGTTACCTGCTCTGTCTTCTCCCCTGCCCAGAGGAAGGCTGCCAGGCTCAAGTTTGACTTCCAGGCACAGTCCCCCAAGTAAGTGCCTTCTCTCCCTTGGCTTCCACCTTGGGCAGTCTGCACAATAGGGGAGATGGTGGGGGTCAGAGCTGCAGTGGGCATCCCGAGCAGTGTAGGGAGAACTCAGGGTGCGCTGGGCAGGGACTGAAGGGAAAGAGGCCTGGGAGAGCCTCAGTGTGCCATAATATCCTCACCGTGGCCCACAGGGAGCTGACCCTGCAGAAGGGTGACATTGTCTATATCCACAAGGAGGTGGACAAGAACTGGCTGGAAGGAGAACATCATGGCCGAATGGGCATCTTCCCTGCGAATTATGTGGAGGTGAGCAGAAGGAATAGGAGCAAATGAGCCAGGCTGGGAGGGCCCATGGGGAGAGACTTGGAGCGCAGACCCCAGGCTTCCTAAGATGTACAACTTTGAGGAGCGGGTGTCGTGTCTCAATCATGGCAGCCATGCTTGTCCTCTACCCCCATGTGGCCTGGCCCAGTGCTCTGCATGTCACCAGGAATGATTGTTAATGAGGGTGGAGCCCAACCCAGGGGAGGTTCAAGCAGCCCATCTTCTCAGTTGACAGCGTCCAGACCTTCACACTCAGAATCCATCTTTCCAAAGCTGTCTTTGGGAATAATCCTGTCGCAGCTGGTAAGGGTGGGAAGTGTGTGACCGTTTACAAATTACATTTACATGCATTGCCTTTTTCAGTTCTGTTACCTCTCGTTCCTCTCACTGCCTGGAGTGATAGATTATCCCCATTTTTTGGATGGGGTGTCAAGGTTCAGTGCTAAGTTATTTATTTATTTTTTGAGTTGGGGGTCTCACTCTGTTGTCCAGTGGCATCATCACAGCTCACCGCAGCCTCAGCCTCCTGGGTTCAGATGCTCCTTCCACCTCAGCCTCCTGAGTAGCTGAGACTACAGGTGTGTGCCACCAGGCCAATTTCCCTCTGAACACTGGATTAGCTGCATCCCACAAATTTTGATCTTGAAAAGTTAAACTCAAACTTTTTTCTCATTTCCTTTGTGACTTCCTCTTTGACCCACGGGTTGGGTTGGGTTGTTTAATTCAGGCTCTTGGTTTCATAGGCATCATTAGGCCTCCCCTACCTGCAGAATAATCTCACTGATCCTGAAACTTCACAAAGCATATACAGTATTCCACTCTGCCAGTCATTTATGTCTTGGTGTGAAATAGTTGATTGGCCTCTTCATTTTTATGGGCAGAGTGAAGCAAAGAGAGCATGGGGAGGAGGAACTAAGACACTGGAATCAAGGGACATGTGGTTCTCAACAGTGGGAAAAGGTTGAATCCTCAGTTTCAGAACAGCTCTCTGGGTGCTCTGTGCCTCTTAGAATGCCTCATTTGCTTCTGTGGTCCAACCTAAACTCTAAAGCCAGATGGCTTTCACCATTTCCAATTTCAGTAATGCTCACTCCACCTGCCTCTATGGAAAATGCTTCCTCCAGGAACACTTCTTGGACTATTCCCTCCCACTTCCCTTGGCTGAGCTCAGCCCTGGCCACCCCAGAGCTTGTGTCTGGTGTCAGTGTCTAGTGTCAGTGTCTTCTCTCTGGCCAGGGGTAGGTCTTGCCTATCCCACCTTCTCCCTGTTGCCTCACCCTCCCAGGTGCCCATGGTGAATCTTTCTTATGACCTTCCTCCTGCAGGTGCTGCCCGCAGATGAGATCCCCAAGCCCATCAAGCCCCCGACCTACCAGGTGCTGGAGTATGGAGAGGCTGTGGCCCAGTACACCTTCAAGGGGGACCTAGAGGTGGAGCTGTCCTTCCGCAAGGTGGGGCCAGGCAGGACACGGTGGGATGGGTGAGAGGCAGGTGAAGTCATAGGGAAACATGTGCACTGAAAACAGTGTTTAAAAGAGTCAGGTAGGCCGGGCACGGTGGTTCAGCCTGTAATCCCAGCTCTTTGGGAGGCCGAGGTGAGAGGATTGCCTGAGCCTAGGGGTTCAAGACCAGCCTGGGCAACTTGGTGAGACCTCGTCTTTACAATAAATAAAAAAATAGGCCGGGTTTAGTGGCTCAAGCCTGTAATCCCAGCACTTTGGGAGGCTGAGGCAAGTGAATTGCCTGAACCCATGGGTTCAGACAACTTGGCAAGACCTCGTCTCTACAATAAATAAAAAGTTAGCCAGGTATGGTAGCATGCACCTATAGTTCCGGCTACTTGGAAGGCTGAGGCAGAGGGATTGCTGGAGCCCAGCAGGTGGATGTTGGGGTGGCCATGAGTGTACCACTGCACTCCAGCCTGGGCGACAGAGTGAGACTACAATTCAAAAAATAAAAATAAAAAGAATTAGGTGTACTCATCTCCATCACCCAATATTTCAAGTTTTTCCCTATCTCATTGATATCATCTAGATCTTGCTATATTGTCCAGGCTGGCCTTGAATTCCTGCCTCAGTCTCCTGAGTAATTTTAGTCCATTTTTTAAGATTGTCATAAACTTCTAGAGTTGTATTTTTTCAGCTGCAGGTTGGTGGGCAGCAAGGATCATAATCAGCATTTTTTAAAGGGCTGGAAAGAAAGATTAGGATGCACTTTAGTAGAAAGAGTACTTTATTAGACTTTAGGCTTTTATGTATACACATTTAGAGGGTACCAAAAAGATGTATGCACATTTTAAGAAAGGAAGAAACTGTATTAAAATTAGAATATTCAATATATATCGATAACAAAAAATGAATACAAGTCATGTTTGACTTCTGCAATTACAAGAGGTGCACAAAGTGGTTACCATCAGTGTCCAGACACTTCTGATTATGGCAAACTAAAAGTACATCTAAAAGTAGATAACATCACTTAAAATATGTATACATTTTTTTGGCATCCTCGGTATATATGTGTATTCTGGGCTGTTGTTAAAACATACTTTTTTTACTATAGATTATGGTGGGAAAAGTTTGAAAAGTGCTCTCATAGAAAGCACTAGAAGGGGGGTTGGGTGCGGTAGCTCATGCTTGTAATCCCAGCACTTTTTTTTGAGTTGGAGTCTCACTCTGTCGCCCAGACTGGAGTGCAGTGGCTGCTCCTGGCCACCATAGCCTCGACCTGCTGGGCTCTGGCGATCCTTCCGCCTCAGCCTTCCGAGTAGCCGGAATTACAGGCGTGCGCTACCACGCCCGGCTGATTTTTTTTTGATTTATTGTAGAGATGAGGTCTCACCAAGTTGCCCGGGCGGGTCTCGAACCCGTGGGCTCAGGCAATCCACTCACCTCAGCCTCCCAAAGCACGGGATTACAGGCTGAGCCACCGAACCCGGCTATTCCAGCACTTTTGGAAGCTGAGGCTGGAGGATTGCTTGACACCAGCCTAGGCAGCATCACAAGGTTTCATCTCTACAGAAAAAAAAAAAACGGGCATGGCAGCATGCACCTGTAGTCCCAGCTGCTCGGGAAGCTGAGGCAGAAGGATTGCTTTAGCCCAGGAGATTGAGGCGACAGTGAGCCCTGATCATGCCATTGCACTCTAACCTGGGTGACAGAATGAGACCCTGACTCAAAAAAAAAGTACTAGAAAGCAAAGTCGTCTCTCTTTGGTTGATTTTTGGTGCAGATGCCATGGATACCCCTAATGAATGCCACCCAGATGAGCTGGCCCCAGGGACAGAGGGTGGGGGAAGAAGGTGATTGGATAAGTGGGGCAGGAGAAGGCAGGGGAAGGTGAAGGCTGAAGACCACCCTCTCCAGGGCAACCCACTGTGGAGGTGGTGGTTTTACCTAACGTCAGTCAGCCTATAGGCTTGAGGACTCACCCTTGATCTCAGGGAGTTTACTGACGCACTCATGACAGGGACCCCCAGAGTGTGAAGCAGGGACAGGACCTGGTCATGGCGGTGGTGGCTATCGCCTGTCCTGTGTGTCTTATGAGTCACCCATTGATCTTGTTGGTGTCTCATTTAACATGTGAGGAAACCAAGGCTCAGAAAGGCAGAGCAGCCTGCCCATGGCCACACAGCTTGGAGGGGGCATGCATGCCGGGTGGGCTTCTCAGAGGCAGGTCCTGATCCAAGCCCAGTGCCACGTGCCGTGGGAAGAGCTCGGACTTCTGCTTGCTCAGCCTGGGTTTGGCTCTTGGCTCCTCTACTTTCTGTGTGACTCAGGAACCAGCTGACCATCTCTGATCCTGAGCCGTCGTGTGTACAAGGTGCTAGGCTTGAGTGAGAAGCCCTTGGTGAATGGCACCAGGAGGGCCCTGCAGACACTAACTCCCCCCTCCCACCTAGGGGGAGCGCATCTGCCTGATCCGCAAGGTGAATGAGAACTGGTACGAGGGGCGCATCCCGGGCACGGGGCGCCAGGGCATATTCCCTGCCAGCTACGTGCAGGTGAACCGTGAGCCACGGCTCCGGATCTGCGACGACGGCCCCCAGCTCCCTGCGTCTCCCCACCTGACCACTGCCCATCCGGCCCGTCACCCTGGCTCCCCCGCAGCACCACGCAGCCCAGCGGATCACGCCGACTGGGGGGGCCGGACTTCCCCTCGACGCACTGGCTTCTCCTTTCCGCCCCAGGAGTCCAGACCCCAGGTCCAGGTGAGCTGACTGGCTCCCCACCCCACTCCTCATCCCCGTGAGGCTTCTGCACTTGGGAGTCCTTCCTGGGCAGCCCCAGGACAGAGCCATGGGGCGGCGGGGCGGAACCTAGCACTGCAGCTGCACCCTGGCCGAGGGAACCTCAAGCCCTTGAGTTGGTACCAGCCCCTGAGTTCCATTCCAGGGAGACATGCAGGAGCTGGCCAGCTCTAGGTGGGACCCCAAAGTGGGCCCAGGCCCCTGGTCCCTCTAGTTATCCCTCTGTCGTGAATTGCCTGTGTTCATTCAAGGTAGGTAGTGTTGGCAGTCAGGACCCTGCCATTTTCTGCTGTGTGGCTTGGGTAGGTGACTTACCCTCTGGGTGTGGGTTTTCTCACCTGGAGAACAAGGAGAGTGATTTCCACTGCAGAGGGCTGATTTGAACTAAGTGTTTCTTGTACCTCGTGGACAGAAGCAGTCATGATTCCTAGTGCTGATGCTCAAATGAGCTTCCGCTCCTGCACTGGTTTATCCGCTCAGCAAGCCTGGACAACTGGGGACAGCCTGTGCACGGGACTCCCCTAGGGCTCTCGGCTTGTCCATGCTAGCGTTCAGAAATCTCGTCAAGTTTCCTCCATGGACTCTAGCATCACCCAGCACCTGGGAAGTGGAAGAGTCTCAGCACACCCTCCCATGCCTTGGGGTCTGTGGGAATCAGACAGGCTGTGTGTAAGATGCTCTGATGGGTGAAGCAGCAAGGCCTGTCTTGGTCCTCCACCCTCATGCTTGGATGTCCCCATCATCTTCCTCCCTGTGACCCCCCTTCCTTTCCACCAACCCCTAGAGTGTCAGCACTTGTGGGCCAGCTCTGTCCCACCCTCGAGGCTCCAGCCACCTCCTGGACCCGGAGGCCTCGTCCCCTAACACCACGCAGATACACTGGACCCCGTGAGTACCACCTGAGGGTGCTTGGCTGGGTGGGGGGTGTCACTGGCAGGCAGTGTTTCCATAGCCTGCTCTCTCCCCCACCCCATTTATGGATTTGGGAAACTTCGACTAAGTAGCATGTGTTCTTGCCGAGCTCGTAGGTGATCTGGGGGGCAGGGGAGGAGGCACTGGTCTGTGGGTTCCTGACCCCACCCTATACAAAACCCCCGGACACCTGGCCTCTCAGCCTCAGTATCCTTATGGGCTTCAACCCTGAGGTCAGTGCATGGATAAATGAGGTACAGGAACTGGTGGAACGGACTCAAAGGCGCTGGGTGCTCAGAGGAGGCAAGGGTTGGGTGGTCAGAGTCCAGGTGGCAGGCCTGGGGAAGGATACACTGGTGCCAAGCAAGAGTTGCCATGCTAGGAGCCGGGTCCAGGGCTCATGGGAGCATGAGGGGATCTTGGGGGGACTCAAAGGAAGTGGCAACACTTGGGTTCAGAGCCTCCGGGCCTGGTCTGGGAGAGGGGCAATGTCTGTGGTTGCCATGGCGATGTCTCCTGCAGGTACCGGGCCATGTACCAGTACAGACCCCAGAACGAGGATGAGCTGGAGCTGCGAGAGGGGGACCGGGTGGACGTCATGCAGCAGTGTGACGACGGCTGGTTTGTGGGTATGTGGGCTGGGGGGCTGGAGGGCAGATGGAAGGTGGGGTCTCATGGCTCCGGGGGATTTGGGTGGGCTGGGGCTGCCTGCCAGTGCTGGTTCAGCAAAGAGTCCTGGCTGACTCTCCCCCACCCAGCCTCTGTCCAGGCTGTTGGGCAGGCCTGGCCCCAGATGCTTCCTCGATGCCAGCACTTCTTTTAGCTATTTCCTCCATACTCTGAAGAGGGGAGAGGCCCGGGAGGAAGCTGAGCCCAGCCCAGGGTCATGGATGAACTCAAGGCAGGGTCCCAGCCTCCAGATTCCTGCCCCTTCCTGCTGCACACCTCTGCCTCTGGAGCAGTCCCCAGGGGGAAGGGCCAGATCTCATACCTGTGTATCTCCTCCCCCATTCCCGTGTACCTCCCTGCCCACCAAGATCCTCCAGCCTGGGAAGAAGAGGGAGTGGAGAGCGATCCTGGCCCCTCAGGGCTGGCCCAAGGGCAGCTCAGGCAAAGGACAAACAGCCTCAGGTTGGCCTTGGCCTGGCTCAAGGTGACCAACCCGGCAGGCTTCACACAGTCTCCTTCCCCTGGCTCTGTTCAGGCCTCAGCTTTAAAGGAGAGGCCATTCCCAGAGAGACGTGAACAGCCAGAAGCACCCCCCACCCCTACCTAGGCCAGCCTCGGGCCCGAGAGATTGGGGGCTGCATGGGCAGTCCCTGGACCTAGCAGCCCCCCTTTCTGATCTGAATCCCAATAGCTCACGGCCGAGCAGGCTTCCGACACACCAGGGTCCAATAAGCACTAGCTCGTAAACAGTCCTTACCTCGGAGGGGTGGGTTTGCAGGTACTTTCTGATTTACCATGTACACTTTTTGCTTTTGAATTTTTTGGTTTTTGTTTTTTTGAGTGGAGTCTCACTCTGTCGCCCAGACTGGAGTGCAGTGGCCGCTCCCGGCCACCGCAGCCTCGCCTGCTGGGCTCCGGCAATCCTTCCACCTCAGCCTTCCAAGTAGCTGGAATTACAGGCAAGCGCTACCACACCCAGCTGATTTTTTATTTATTGTAGAGATGAGGTCTCACCAAGTTGCCCAGGTGGGTCTCGAATCCGTGGGCTCAGGCAATCTACTCACCTCAGCCTCCCAAAGGCACAGGATTACAGGCTGAGCCACCAAGCCCGGCTTGCTTTTAAATTTTTTGTACAACTACTAATAAAGTTTTACAAGGGTATATAGACAAGAAGAAAAGGCACCACTTTTTCTGGTATAAGCCACAAGTGCCTTAAGAGGAATGGTTTAAACCTAGCCATGTGTGGCTGTAAAAAATTTACTTAAAATGAAGTAAATTAAAAATGCAGGCCAGGTGCAGTAGCTCACACCTGTAATCCCAGTGCTTTGGGAGGCCAAAGCAAGAGGATCATGTGAGGCCAAGAGTTTAAGACCAGCCTGGGCAATGTGAGACCTCATCTCTGCAAAAGTTAGCCAGCTGCTTGGGAGGCCGAGGTGGGAGGATTGCTGAAGCCCGGGAAGCTGAGGTTACAGTGAGCTATGATTGTGCACTGCACTTTAGCCTGGTGACAGAGCAAGATCCTGTCTAAAAAAAAAAAAAGAAAGAAAGAAAGAATAGAAAAATTCAGTCCTCAGTTGCACTAGCACATTTATTTTCTTTCTTTTTGTTTCCAGTCAGTGTCACTCTGTCGCCCAGGCTGGTGTTCAGTGGCATGCTCACAGCCACCATAGCCTTGACCTGCTGGATTCAGGCAATCCTTCTGCCTCAGTCTTCCAAGTAGCTGGAACCACAGGCATGTGCCACCATGCCCGGCTAAGTTTTTGATTTACTGTAGAGACGAGGTCTCCCCAAGTTGCCCAGGCTGGTCTCGAACCGCTGGGCTCAGGCAATCCTCTCGCCTCGACCTCCCAAAGTGCTGGATTACAGGTGTGAGCTACCGTGCCCGTCACACTAGCACATTTCAAGTGTCATTAGCCACATGTGGCTAGTAGTTAACATTTTAGATACTGTAGGCTGTGGAAGGCTTCCTGGAGGGGGTGGGCGAACTGGGCCTAGGAGGTCAGGGGAAGAATTTGGGGAGGCCGAGAGGAAAGAGAGGTACTCCAGGCAGGGGAAGAGCATCCTTGAGGGCTGGGGAGGGGTGAGGGGAGGACAAGCCTGGGCCACTTCTAAGGAAGTGAGGCTGCCAGCCTGGAAGGGCAGGCCCAGGGGCGTCAGTTTGCCCAAGGTCCCGACTGACTTTTGTTTCAGTCTATGTTCCCATACTTCCAGCATTCCCTTTCCTCTCCAAGACACGGCTTTCTTTGGGTTGAAGCAGATCAGATGGTGTTCGACTCTACCCCTAAGCAGCTGAGCGCTTTGGGCAATTCACCCGGCTTCTCTCATCCCGAAAGTGAAGGTGCCATACGGACCCGTGAGGCTCCTCGACTTATCCTGATATTCATCCTCCTGCTTCCTTGCTTTCCGGAAGAAGGGTGGAGCGATTCAGATCTGTGGGCAAAGTTGTACACATTTTTGATTGCCCGTCTATGCTTCGGCACTAGGGGGCAGGAATGAGGCAAGCAAATCAAATTCCCCTCCCTGGGAGAGACTGCAGCTGCAGTTCCGGGCACTGCCAGCAGGGGGCAGGACCCGAAACCCCCCCCCCCCCCCCTCCATCCCCAGCCCCTCCTCTGCTCTCCCAACCTCGCTGTCAAAAAAGGCCAGTGTAGGGGCCGGGGCTGGCTCAGACTCGTAACCCTAGCACTTTGGGGAGCCGAGGCGAGAGAATTGCTTGAGCCCGGGAGTTCGAGACCAAGCTGGGGAACATGCGAGACCTTGACTCTAGGATAATCAAAAAATTAGCCGAGCGAGTAGTTCCAGTTCCTTGGAACGCTGAGGTGGAAGAGTCGCCTGAGCCCAGGAGATCCAGGCTGCAGTGGCCGAAATTGTGCCACTGCACTCCAGCCTGGGCAACAGAGAGAGACTCTGACTCAAAAAAAAGAAAGGAATTCTGTCTCTCTTTCCTCTTTCAGGTGTCTCCCGGAGGACCCAGAAATTCGGAACATTCCCTGGAAACTATGTGGCCCCCGTGTGAGTGGTCTCCATGGCCGCTTGGAGCCAGCCAGGTTGGGGTGGGGAGCAGTAGCACTCGTGGGAGGGAGAGGACGCCCACATCCTGCTTCCCCCAGACCCAAGCTCCCCTGGCATCTGCAGACGACCCCAGCAGCCCTCCCCTCGGAGCTCCCTGGACTGATTCCACCCACGCCACACAGGGCCTTTCATTTCCTCCCCCCCCTCCCCTAATACAGAGGCCTGCTTTGAAGTGGAGACTGTTTCCAGGCCTTATTGAGACCAGACCCCGGATGCCCCACCCCCACCCCGCTAGGCATTTCCTCTAACAGGGACCAGTTCCCGCCTCACCCTCTTGGGGTTCCTTTAACAAGGACCAGCTTCCTAACCTCCTAGAGACCTAAGGCCTCCTTCGCCTGGAGAGGGTTCCTCTCCTTTCACTCCCGCTTCTCTGCTGTCCTCTTGGCCTTCCTGCTTGGGGCTGGGCCTGGGAGCGAGGTGGGCGACAGATGTGGCAACTTCTTAGCATTCAAGGCCCAGCAAGAGGTCTTGCCTGGAGGCCTCCTCTTCCCCGAGGCTGCCTGCCCTGGGCCTGGGCTCTGTACACCGTCCTGGGTGGGGCGGCGGGCCCAAATGTTTCCCCCAGGGGACTAGATTGTGGCCTCCTGCCTCCAGCTCTCCCTAGCGCCCAAGTTCCCTCTGGAAGAGAATGTAAAATAAATCTGGATGCCAGGGACCTTGTCTCTGAGTTCTTTTTCTTGGGGTGGGAGAGGCCTCTTCCCACATAGGATTTTGGGAATTCTGTCTTCAGGGGGCTGTGCAGGTAGGACAGGCAAGTGTGTGGGCGCAAGGGAAGGATGGAAAACACCATTATCACCTTCAAAGACCTCAGCCCTCGGGTGTCAGGCAGCCATGTGACAAGTGCCCACGCATGTCACAGTGCCCACAGCAAGGCCTGATCGTGGGGCGAAACCAGAGATGGGGACTGAATGTGACCTTGTCTGTGGACTGTTTGATTCTGGGGCTGCCGGACCAGACGCCAGTTCTAACTACTCTGCTGCTCGTGTTTTCCTTCTGTGTCCACGCTGAAGTGCTCAGGTGTTTATTTTCTTTTTGGGGCTCCAGTTTTTGAGCCATCAGCTGCGGGAAGCTGGGAGTGGCGGGGCACAGCTAGCCACAGCAACTCCTCTCGCCCAAGGTTTAGAGCACTGGGGCTTGCTGGTACCTGTGGGGTGGCAGTGGTGGCACAGCCCAGGCGTGGCTGCTCTGCCCAGAAGGAAAGTCTCCATTCCTTGGCTGCAGCTGAGACTCTAGCAGGGCCTGAGAGGCTGCCCATGTGTTATCTAACATAAACATCAAAATTTTTGGCAGGTTATGATTCTGTTTTCATTTTATTTTACATTTCATTTTTATTTTTTATTAGAGACAGGGTCTCACTCTGTCATCCATGCTGGAATGCAGTGGCAAGGTGTCATAACTCATCACAACCTTGACCTCCATGCCTCAAGTAATCCTCCCACCTCAGTCTCCTGAGTAGTTGGGACTACAGGCATGCACCACCATGCCCAGTTAATTTTTTTTTTTTTTTTTATTGCAGAGACGAGGTCTTGCTATGTTGCCCAGGCTGGTCTCAAACTCCTGGGCTCAAGTGATCCTCCTGCCCTGGCCTCCTAAAGTGCTGGGATTATAGACATGAGCCACCATGCCTGGTCCTATGATTCCCTTTTACAGAAGGAGAGACTGAGGCTCTGAGAAATGAAGTTGTCTAGGTCACAGCATTATTAAATGCTGCAGTCAGGTCCACCTCGCTGCACAAAATCCACCACATGCCCAGGCAGTCCTTGTCCAGAGGCCCCTGGGGAAGGAAAGCCTTGAGCAAGGTTGGGGACTTCCCTGGGGCAGCCCAGGGCTGGGCTGCTTTTAGGTTCTTCCTGGCAACCCTGTCTTCCAGGCCTGTCGCTCAGGCATCCCCTCCCCAGGCAGGTGGGAAGAGGTGGTGGCGGGTGTGAAGGGTGGTGGTGCCTCGTTCTGCCAGGACAGAGGGCAGTGGCTGGGCCCTGGCAGGTTCCTTAAGCCTGGGTGTGGCCTGGGCCCCAGTGGTGGCTGAATAGCAGCTGGAAGAACAAGACCTACGTGTACTGATCCATCCCTCCCATGCACCCTGTCCTCACCCCTCCTGGCTCTAAGTCAGCAGGTCTAGCCCCTCCTGGCCTGGAAACGAGCCTTCCTCTGGACTCGCTGGCCTGGTCACGATTGCTTCATCCCCGCTCCTTTCAAATGTATTCCCTGATGCCCTCCCTTGTAGAGCATATCAGGACTGAGCCTTCATCTCCCTGGGACAGAAACCAAATCCACACTCTCTGATGGGGCCCTAGAAACTCCCGCAGCAAACCAACTCTCCGCCCATGGGCTGCCTGCCGCTGGTGCTTGCCTGTAAGGTGGCCATGTCTGTGTATCTTGACCTGGCCTGGGAGGGGAGGCAGAGGGAGGATCAGAGGCCGCTGGGAATGGCTCACCCCATTAGAGAGGGAAGGTGAGTGGCCTGATTTACCCTGGGCCCCAGAGCCACTTAGAGGAGGGCAATATTCCCTGCTGTGCCACAGAGGCGTGGCCCAAGTCAGCTGCCTTGGCCTTGTGGTGGGTTTTGTGAATACACAACCCACCATGCAGAAACTCTGCAGGTTAACCTGTAGACACATATAGAGACGGCGCAAGATATGCGGGAGGGTTCCTCTGGGGTCACAGTGAGCTTTTGTTTGGTTCACTGCTCCATTCCCAGAACCTTGCATGGTGCCCGACACTCAGTACTTGTTGAATTTGAGGCAGGCACAGTGGCTCATGCCTGTAATCCCAGTCTTTGGGAGGCTGAGGCAGGAGGGTTGCTAGAGTCCAGGAGTTTGAGACCAGCCTGGCAATACAGTGACACCCCTATCTCTAAAAAATAAAAGTCAGGCATGGTGGTGTGTCCCTGTAGTCCCAGTTACTCTGGAGGTTGAGGTGGGAGGATCACTTGAGGCCAGGAGTTTGAGGCTATAGTGAACTATATCTTGCCACTGCACTCTAGACTGGGTGATGGAATGAAAACCTATCTCAAAAAAAAATTATATATATATATTCCTCTCCCCCCAAAACTGGAATTATTTTTTGGAGGGCAGGCCCCTTGTAGTACAGGCTTCCCCCACTAGGTAAATGTTCTAGGAATCCATCAGCACCAGTGGACCAGCTTAATGTGGTCATGAGAGGCTGTGCTCGGCTTCAGTGAAACTTTTTTGGAGATTCTTTTTTTTTTTTTTAACCTTGTTTGGTTCCATGTTTTTGCTATTGGGAATAGAGCTGCGAAGATTCTTTCAATGCATTTGCCCATTTCATGATGGGTGATTTACGAGTGGACATGCTCAGACCACACCAAAAAAATGGCAGGACCCCTGTGCCCCACCCTCCCTATTCACCCGATCTTGCCCCGAGTGACTTCGTTTTGTTTTCTTGGATGAAAAAAGTCTCAAAGGGAAACGTGTTGCTGATGTAGAAGTGAAACAAATAAAAATGGCAGAAGCACTAAAAGGCATCAAAATCACAGGTTCAAAAACTGTTTTGTGCGGTGGAAAAAGTGTCTCTATAGGAGTATTAGATCAAACAGAGAGTACTTGAAGGTGACTGGAGTTTAAACACATAAGAATAAATACATGGCCGGGCTCAGTGGCTCAGCCTGTAATCCCCGCACTTTGGGAGGCCAAGGAGAGTGGATTGCCTGAGCCCGTGGTTTATTCGAGACCAGCCCGGGTAACTTGGCACGACCTTGTTTCTATGATAAAACGAAATTTGGCTGGGTGCGGTAGCGTGCCTGTAGTTCTGGCTCCTCGGAAGGCTGAGGCGGAAGGATCATCAGAGCCCAGCAGGTCGATGCTGGGGTGGCTGTGAGCACTCCAACCTGGGCGACAGAGTGAGACTCCTGCTCAAAGCAAAACAAAACAAACAAATAATGAATACACACGTTTTTAATAAATAAATTTTGCTCCCCCCCACGTGCGTGTGTACTTGCCTACAGAAGAGCGATCTGCACAACGGGATGGTAAGCTCTGCATTGTCCCCATTTTCCAGGTGGGGAACTGAGGCCTGGAGGAGCTGAGGAAATTGCTTGAGGTCACGCAGCTAGTAGGAGGCAGAGGCGGCATTTGAGGCTAGGTCTGCGTGACCCCAGGGCTGTGCTTGCCCTGCCCGTGGTTTCCTGTTCCCTCAAGGGGCTTCCAGTCCAGCTGGGCAGGTGGAATAGGTGCATGTGACAAAGTGGCCATGCCAGGAGGCACGGGATTAGACGTCGGAGCTCAGGTTACACAGCCGGGACACGGGCTGCCCCGCGCGGGGGCAGCCAGGCTTGAGTTCAGGGACGACGAGAGGCAGGGCTCGGTGGATGAGGAGGGTGGTGAGAGCACGCCTTGCAGAGGGCGCTGGAGAAAATGACTCACACCTGCGGCAGGCAAGTTACAGCTGTGCCCACAGGGTGCTCGCCTACAAACAGACCCACCTGGCAGCCAGAGGGCCCGGCTGAGAGCCAGCCGGAGACGCAGGAGGAGGCTCCGTGGTCCCCGGGGTGAGGGTGCCGGCTACGGCGCCTCCTTCCTGAGTGGGCACCGGGCCCCTCCTTGGCCGCCCTCGCCTGGTCCTGAGAGCCCGGGCTCCAGGTGTGTGGCGGGGCCGGGGGAGTCGGGCCCGCCGAGCGGCCCAGGGGAGGCTGCCAGGAGGGG